CCGCAGCCGCCCAGGCCGCATCCCGCCGGCTTGCTGACGAACACGGTCTGCTACGTGTGCGACAAGAACTTCCCGACGCACACCGCCATGCTGGTGCACGTGCGCGTGCACGCCGCCGGCAGCCGCTTCCGCTGCCGCCAGTGCCCCGCCCACTTCTCCTCGATGCTGAGCCTGCGCTCGCACCACAAGGTGCACACCAGGGCCTCCGTGTTCAAGTGCAAGCTGTGCCCGCTCCGCTTCGGCACCCGCAGCTCGCTCTTCTCCCACCTCAAGCAGCACGACCGGATGAAGGGCGACAACGTCTTCCGCTGCAGCAAGTGCCTGGAGCGCTTCGTGGGCCGCAAGGCGCTGCACGCCCACGTCAAGACCCACCGCGAGGAGGAGGCCGAGGACCAGATCGGACACAACCTGGAAGAACCCGAAGCCCAAGAGCCAACCCATGACGAGAACAAGAGCAAGTTGTACCAGTGCCAGAAGTGCCCAGAGGTCTTCGACAAGTATTGGAATTATTGGAACCATCGCAAGAACCTGTGCCCCGGTGTCAAAGGCGATGCCGCGCTGCCCACGCCAGGGAAGGCGTCCCCTGGGAAGGGCTACCGCTGCGGCACCTGCGGGCTCCGGTGCACGACGAGGAAGAAGCTGTACCGGCACGCGCAGAGTCACGTCATCAAGGTGGAGCCTGACACTGACGCCGACTACGTGCAGACCCTGGAGGAGAAGCCCGTCGTGGACGCCAGCACGTCGGCGAGCACATCGACCAGCCCACAGAAGACGTTCCGATGTGGCAAGTGCTCGCAGCCCTTCCCGGACAGGCGGGCCCTGCACGTCCACTCCAAGACGCACTCGGGCGCCATGGTCGTGATCGGCGTAGAGGACGACACCGTGCTGGACGCGTCGGCCCTGCCGGAGCCGCCCGCTGAGTCTGGGTTCCCTCCGGCACCGGCCTCTGTCAAGAAAGGAAAGACCTCCAAGAATGTCTTCCGCTGCGGCCAGTGTGGAAAGTCTTACCGCGGCAGAAAGCTGCTCTGGCAGCACCGCAAAGTGTGCTTCCCCGAGGACAAGAAGAACCACGAGGATGTGCCCCCCAGTCCCAACGATACTGTGATAAAAGTTGAGCCAACAACAAAACCAAAGAAGTACCGCTGTACCAAATGCCCCGAAGTATTCTCAGACGCAGACAACCACTGGCTGCATTATAAGGTGCATGTGACGGACAACATCCACGAGATTGTCCGCTCAGACGCCACGACTGATCCCTTGGCGTCGCCTAGCTACAAGTGCAGCGAATGCGGTCTAGTGTTCCCGCACAGGGTCGGCCTCTGGTGGCACTACAAGTCCCACCTGGGTGGCGGCGAGGTCGCGGACACCTGCGTGACCAGCCCGGCGGCTGGCGGTGACCCATTGTCCAGCCTCTTCCGCTGTCGCGAGTGCCCCGAGACGTTCCCCGACGAAGACCTGCACTGGCAGCACTACAGGACACATGTGAGCGAGCCGTGTCAGGAAGTCAGGCAGGAGGCCGCCCAGGAGGCTGAGGCGCAATCGCCGCCCTCTTACCAGTGCAAGAAATGCTCAATAACATTCTCAGACAAGGAGAGCCACTGGCAGCACTACAAGGTACACGCGGAGCTGCCCGCTTCTGAGCTGTACGAGATAGTGAAGCCTGCCAACGGGCAGCGAGAAGGTCTGCCGGGTCAGTACCGCTGCAGCAAGTGCCTGGAGTTGTTCGCCGACCTCGAAAGCCACTGGTGGCACTTCCGTGCGCACTACCAGTCCGCGGAGTTGGCGCAGCTCGAGGAGACTGAGCCCAAGTACAAGTGTTCCCAGTGCCCCGAGCTGTTCGAGGACGACAGAAGCCGCTGGTGGCACTACCGTGTCCACGCCACGGACTCGTCCAACTGCTTCGAAGTGGTGCGCAGCCGGCCCGAGTACCGCTGCATCAAGTGCTCTCAAGTCTTCCCAACCGTCGCTAATCACTGGGTGCACTACCGTGACCACTACGACGCCGAGGTGTTCGACCTGGTGGTGAACGGGCGTGTGAACGGGGAGGCTGCGCCCTCCCAGTACCGCTGCTCCAAGTGCCCCGAGCTGTTCCAGGATGTAGACGCTCACTGGGAACATTACCGCCGTCACTTCGAGTCTGTCGAGGACCGCCCGTGCCAGGAGGTGGGCATCGGCATGGAAGAGAAGGCAACAACATTCTGCTGCAACAAGTGCGACCAGATGTCCGACGACCTGGAGTCCCACTGGTGGCACTACCGCTCCCACATGGACGTTGACGACGACGTGGAGCTGGACCAGACGGGGGCCGTCACATTCCGTTGCGTGGAGTGTTCGGAGACGTTCCCGGACGCCGACAGCCAGTGGCTGCACTACCGCCAGCACGTGGACGCCGAGGTCTGCGAGGAGGTGTTGCCGCAGGACGTGAAGCCCAAGCTGTACCCGTGCTCCAAGTGCTCCGAGGTGTTCCCGGACCGGAGGAGCCGCTTCCTGCACTGCGCCGTACACGTGACGCCGCGCGGGGCCGGCCCGGGGCCCAGCGCGGCCGTGCAGCTGGACAAGGGCAAGGGCTTGCAGTGCAACGCCTGCCGGGAGATCTTCCTCGACACGGAGAGCCACTGGTGGCACTTCAAGACTGTGCACAAGCCGGACGCCGAGGAGGTCGGCCCCGAGACGTACCAGATAGTGGAGCTGACAGCTGACCCCACCGAAGACCCGCTGACAAAGCGCTGCCAGTGCAGCAAGTGTCCAGAGACGTTCCCTGATCGCAAGGCTCACCACCGTCACTATAAGGCCGTTCACTCCAAAGAGGGCCTGACATCGCCCTTGGAGGCGGGGGGCTTCCCCTGCAGCAAGTGTTCAGAGGTGTTCGCGGACCGCAGGAGTCTTTGGTGGCACTACCGTGTCCACACCGACGCGTCTGAGTCCACGGCCGTGGAGCTTGCGGCTGAGGCGCCCGCCCAGCTGCCCGCCCAGCTGCCCGCCCAGCTACCCGCCCAGCTACCCGCCCAGCTGTCCGCCGAGCGGTCTGGGGTTTACTGCTGCACCATCTGCTCTGAGCTGATCGCGGACGGCGACGACCTGGAAACTCACGTGAAAGTGAAGCACGGGGAGCCTCCCGTGGAGGACGCCACAGAGGCTGCCGTGGACGACGCCACAGAGGAGCAGTCTGGGGTTCACTCTTGCACCCACTGCTCTGAGCTGTTCACCGACCGAGGGGACCTGCAGGCTCACATTAAAGGAGAGCACAGCGCGGTGGAGAACGAGGACGCGTCTCGCGTCAAGGAATACCGGTGCAGCAGGTGCCCAGATGTGTTCCCCGACCTGGAGCAGCACTGGTGGCACTTCCGGGTCCACACTGACGCGGAGTTCGTGGCCTCTGTTCGTGGGCAGGACATCGAAAAGCCCGCCGAACCGCGGCCCGAGACGACACCCAGCAGGTACCAGTGCAGCAAGTGCCCACTGAGCTTTCCGGACCGCAAGGCCCATTGGGCACACTACAAGAACCACAAAGAGGCCAGGATCGTGGTGAAATCAGAACCAGCCAAGGTGAGCAGCAGGGTGCGTTTATCGGCAGAGGGCCCGGCACAGGCGGCCGCTGTCAAGCAGACCAAGACGTACAAGTGCAACCAGTGCTCCAAGGTGTTCCAGCTCTGGATAAACCTGTTTAACCACAAGAAGGTCCACGACCTTGCGAATCGCGCCGCCCAGAGCCAGGGCAGCCAACCTGCGGAGCATCCGCCCACCCCTACCATCCCGGCGGCCGAGACGCCAGCGCGCAACTTCCCCTCCTCGAAGGTCGTCGCGGGCCGCTCCTTCAAGTGCAGCGAGTGCCCTGCACGGCTGAGCAGCCACCGCGTGCTGTGGGCGCACTTCAAGACCCACAAGCAGAGCGGGCGCATGTACCCCTGCGTCGACTGCAGCGCCAAGTTCAACTCGCGGGGCGCCCTCCGCGCGCACGCCGACGTGCACCTCGCCCCGCCGGACCCGGAGCAGAAGCAGGATGCTGACGAGCCCGGCGCCGTGGCCTGCACCAAGTGCGACGCCGTCTTCAAGAACAAGGTGGCCCTGGGGTCGCACCAGCGCGTCCACCCTGGCCCGAAGCCCTTCAAGTGCAAGCAGTGCGGTGCGCGCTTCACCAACGGGGCTAACATGCTGAGGCACACAAAGCTGCATAAGGGGAAAAAGGCCTTGAAGTGACGATTGTTCTGACATAATTGAACAAGCAAGGGGGCCAGCAGAAAATTAGAGCATAGTTATGTACAGGCGTTTATGTTGTTCCCCTCAATTCAGAATTTTAGTCAGTTCTCCATGGATTTGTTATGTTGCAATTGTGTGTTTATTTATGTTGTGAACAGATGTGGCAGCTTAATTGTTGGGATAGTGTCTTCTATTAAGGTTTCTACAGGCATGTTTTGTTTTTATTGGATCAGAGTGGTGATAAGTCATCTGTATTAGGATTAATTAAGAAATTTGCATTTTCCTCTTTAATGTGAAGTGTTTGCTACTTTATGCAATCTACAATATCTTTCTTCTCTGCCCTGTAATTTAAAGAAGTGAGTAATTGTAAAGTTGTCGGTGTTTACGCAATTTTATATATTGCTGGCATGCAAGAAGAATTCATTTCTGAGGTGCTTGCTCGTTGGTGGAAGTGTATAGTCAAACTCTCTTTGTTTAATCACATGTGTGTAACATTCCCTCAGTATTTAGTTATCGTACACCCATGTGCCTTGTGATTTTTAGCTCAATCATGATCAAAAGTGTGATACAGGTGTCAATTTTGGCACCATACTCCATATCTATATTACTATATGTGTATCAATAAATAGTCAGATTCTAAACGTTGCTTGTGTTGTTCCTTTATCAGTTGCCTTTTGCATCTCAATGACAGCTGGCGAAGGTGAGTTTCTTTTGTTGTCACACCAGTCTTCTTGTACTATCTGAGCTGGCTAATCAGTGTGTTTCTTTGAACTTTTCAGCCCGTCAAGTGCTTCCAATTCGTTCGCCAGCAGTGTGTGTGCGCCCGACTGACATTTGCTTCTCCTTTGCAGGTTGGCTGTCCATGCCCGTGTCGATGCCGCCCCGGCGCCCTGGCCGCGGGGGCGCGGGGGGCCCCGGCCGCCTGCTGCTGCAGTGTGAGCACTGCGATTACCGCTGCCCGCGGCCCGCGGACCTGCGCAAGCACCTGCGCACGCACACGGGCGAGCGGCCGTACAAGTGCCAGCACTGTGACCGCTGGTTCGGGGACATCTCCAACCGGCGCGCGCACGTGCGCAAGTGGCACGCCTCGGAACTGGGCCAGTGACCGGACGGACGGCAGGAGGTGCGATGTCTTTTGTACCGTAGAGTTGGGTTAGCCTAACCGACCGACGGATTTGTGAGCTGGCAATAAAGCGATTCGGTGCCATGCCCCCGTGTATTTCCTCTCTCCCGTCGGTGATTCACTCACCCGCGCGCTATCCTGGTTGTGGTTCCGATGCATGGGATTTGCGGGCGCTGGAGAATGCTATGTGCTAAATGTTGGTTTCCTCTCGAAATGATTGGTTTTCCTCCTCTTCTGACCCCCTGTTTTTCGTCTTCTGCAGGTGAGGGCGCCCGTATCTTGAACGGGAATGTCGCTGTGAAGTTCGAGCCCATGGACAGCGAGGAGTACCGGCTGTGGTTCGACGACTCGAACCCTTCAGATCCCGAGCCCTCGCCGCCGCAGCAGGAGCCGGTGCGGGACTGCTACGTGCGCCTGGAGAACATCCGGCTGCCGGGCTCCACGTCGCGGAGGGCGCCTCGCGCCGAGCGCAGCCTGTCGCCGGAGGGCGGGCGGCGAGACGTGGGCGCGGGCCGCTCCCGGGGCCGCTCCCGCTCTGTCGCCCCGTCCAGGCCCACCTCCAGGACGGCGTCGAGGCCCCGACACAAGAGCAAGGACGCGAGGTCGTCGTCGTGCTCGAGGGCGCCGGGCGCTCTTGGCATGGGCACGCCCCGGATCGTCCTCGGCCGCTCCAAGAGCGCCACCGGCTCGCGCCTGCTCAAGTGCGCGCTCTGCCTGAAGTCCTTCCACCTGCAGGCCAGCCTCAGCAAGCACGTCCGGGCCCACCAGAGGTGCACGCCCGACAGGTAGGCGCGCTGAGCGTTGCAGCCGGCCGGGCCCGGGCCCCTCGCGTCCCCTCCCCCCGCTAATGCCGTGTGTGTCCACAGGTGTCTCATCTGCGGGAAGCGCGTCGAGAGCCTCGTGCAGGCCATGGAGCACTTCATGTCGCACCCCGCCGACGTGCACGACGACGACGACAAGGTGCGGTGCGCCGTGTGCGCGCGGGAGTTTCCCCGGCAGCGCCTGTACCGCCTCGCCACTCACGTGCTCGCCCACACCGGCGAGGCGCCCTTCCCGTGCGCCACCTGCCACCGCAGGTTCCGCACGTCCTACTCGCTCGTGACGCACGCGGAGCGCGTCCACGGCTCGCGGGACGCGGGCGTGCGGCGGTCGGCCGCGCTGGTCCGCGCCATCCTGCCCGTGTACCGCTGCTCCGTGTGCCCGGCGCGCCTCGGCACGCCCAAGCTGCTCATCGAGCACAAGCAGCAGGTGCACGGCGCGGCCGCGGGCGGGGCCACCTGCCTGTACTGCCCCGCGGCGCTGGACTCGTCCGAGGCCATGGAGCGCCACATGGCGGCCCAGCACGCGTCGGAGCGGCCGCACGCCTGCGCGCGCTGCATGAAGCGCTTCTCCACCCGGCACAGCCTGGCGCGCCACATGCTGTCGCACAGCCACGCCTACCGCTGCTCGCTGTGCCCCGAGCGCTTCGCCACGGCCAGGGAGTGCCTGGACCACGTCAACGGAGTGCATCTTAGACCCGCACACTGAACTGGCTGTCCCAGTTAATACCAAACAGGCCATCATCTGTTAGGTAATAACTGGGACATTCGGTTGAATAATGGGCACATTGAATTTAGGTTATAATTTTTCTTTGACTACTTTAATTTTTCGTTTTGCTAGTATTTTTGCTTCTTAGTGGGCCCAATTTTACTCTTTAATTGACTTTTCGTATTGAGATATGATGTAATCTGCCAATACTACTGTCTTTATGACCCTGACAAGCCAGTGGTTTGGCAGCACACATCAACCCTGATTGGTTCTATTGTATCACTTTTGTTTATGCATACTGTGCACAGATTTTAGAATTTTTAAAGTTAATTTTATTTTATGTGGAAACTATTAATTATTTTGTACCCATCTTCACTTCATGAAATTATGTTATTTCAATTTGCCCTAACAAGACTTGGTGCTTAATTAAATAAACTTTGTATGACATAAATATTGCTTCTTTCTTTTATGATAATTTGACACCATCTGCAAGCACTTACTTGGGTAGGTAGTACGTTTCCATCATGAAATTAATCGGTCTCTCTACTTTTTTACTAATTATGTTTTTCTGTGTGCAGGTAGCTTGCAGTGTTTACTCTCGATCGCGCACTCTGGTTTTACAAGTTAACACGAGTCACTGATAGACATTCTTTACATTGCATTAGAAGTTCACTCACATCTGTTTCATACCTGTTGTAGATTTGCATATTCGATTGGGAAAATTTATCTGTCAACTGCTTTGGGGGAATTTTGCATGAATTGCATTGTGCATGAGCGGATGGGACGTATGCCAGCAATGTCGATTCCAACACACGCCGGCAACACTCGGGTAACTGTGATGTAGAAGTTATACCCTTCTCTCCGTTTGCAGATGACGCGGAGCCTGAACTGGTGGACCTCGAGGCCTGGGCTGACGCTGCTGCGCGGACGCCGCTGGAGGAGGTGACAGTGCCGGGCAGGCCTGGCAGCCGCTCGCCGGTGAGAATACCCAGCTCGACGGCCAGCATCCTGGGCTCCCCGACGAAGACCATGGCCTACCTGAGCCAGCTAGACGCGGCCAGCTTCGGCAGGGAGCTCGACGCTGTCCAGCTGAGCAGCGGCCAGCTCGAGGCCGCCCCACTGCCCGTCTTCCATGTGGCGGAGGCTGAGGATCTACTCTCAGCCTTCGACCCGGACTCCGCCCCGAGTCAGAGCGGGACCGCGGAAGTGCTGGACCCCCTGAACATGTCGCTGGACCCGCCGAGCCAGCCGAGCCAGCCGAGCCAGCCGAGCCAGCCGAGCGAGCCGCAACCTGTGCAGGATTTGCCGCCCACGGTGGCCCAAGCCGACAAGGACATTGACGACCTGCTGTCCTACGACGTGCCGTCCGATGTGGACGATGGGTTCTACCACTACCTCTTCCCGACCGCCGCGCCGCGCCCCGAGACCTCGGCCGGCCGCTCCTGCTGGCGCTGCCAGGCCGTGTTCCCGGACGAGAAGGCCCTGCTGCAGCACAACTTGCAGATGCACGCCGGTCGCAACCATGCGTGCGACAAGTGTCCGGAGACTTTCATCACGAGCGCCTGTTTGGCAATCCACAAGCGTCAGGTGCACACCGAAGACCAGGACCTCGCGCGCTCCAAGTGTGCCAACACCCTCACCAGCAGCAGCAACGGCGGCGGCGGCAGTGTTGTGAGCGTGAAGACTGAGGCGCTCGTCGCCAAGCTCCCCGAGGACCAGGATTCGGCGTCGCCGCGGCGCGCCTCGCTGCCTGCCAAGGGCAAGAAAGGCAGGCGGTCGCGGAAGGTGGCAGACGCCGACGAGCCCGACGAGTCCGACGAGCATGGAGGCGTGGTCGTCAACGAGAACGGGGCGGTGGAGAAGGAGTACCGCTGTGAGCTGTGCTTGAGGGAGTTCCGCCGGGAGAAGGCCCTCGAGGCCCACATGAATCGCCACCAGGACGGCTACGGCTACGAAGCCATGCGCAGGCGCTCCAACTCCGTGTCACACCGCTTCTCTCTGGCGAACAGCCCGGCTGATGTGAAGCGCAGGCCAAGCTCCCCAGATGGCGCTGAAGCTGCACAACTCCGATCGACGAGCAAAGCTGTGGCGTCCGTCGCAGACGCCCCCGCACCTCCTCCTGCTGCTGTCCGCGAGCCTCCCCTTGCTCTCCCCCCGGCGCCTTCTCTTGCTCTTGTCCCGGCGCCTTCTCTTGCTCTTGTCCCTGTGCCGTCCCTGGCGATGGTTCCCGCTTCCTCCAATCGAAGGTCGCGGCGTCTTAGTCACCTCCCCGCGGAAGTAGGTCCAAGTGGCCTAGTTCGTAATCCTTTCTCCACGGAAGTCAAGATTAAACTCGAGAAGCTTGATGTATCGAAGAGGGGCAGGGGGAGGGGGAGATCCAGCAAGAATAGATTTAGCCTTCATTGACAGGACCTTATTGTGTTATGCATATTTTTTTTATTTTTTTAAATATTAATTTTTACTGTAAATTGTAAAACGTATGTATCTGTAATCATGTTGCCGTCGCTGTAGTGTCATTTATTTTTTATCAAACTTGACAGTAATGTAAAACCATATATCTTACTTTTGAATCAATTTAATGTTTATATTGCTAGGCAGCACTAGCATTCGTATACTTTATTTTACAATATCAACATTAACTACAAAAAGCGTCCCTTTGCTGTCCTTATTTGACCTTATCCATACGCACGGATCACAGCAATGAACACACTAACACAACACTCGACAACACCCCCTCTCAATGGCACTAACTCACCACTTGTTGTCTTTTTGTTTTCGCAGATGACGACGTGTCGTGCGAGGAGTGCGGCAAGAAGTACCGCTTGCGCGGTTGGCTCATGAAGCACATGGAGAAGCACAAGAGGCGCCGGGGCGGCCGGAGCAAGCACAACAAGCACCCGACGGTGCACCTCGCCAACCCCCACGCGCAAGTGCACGCGCAAGCGAACGCGCCCGCTGAGCTCCTGGCCGAGAAGGCGTACGGCCGCATGGAGGTGGTGAAGCTAGAGCCTCTCGCCGAGGAGGACGCAGAACTTGTGATGGAGGCGGAGCATGAGAACCTGGACGATCCCTTGATTTGACTTTAGAGAACTAGGTTTCTCTGTCTAATCATAGTCATGGAAGTGTACATGATGAATTTTTACTGTCTAAGGCATTTTTTCCTACGTTCATTAATTACTCTCACTTAACATTCCCATCGCTGCGCTGGTAAAGTCAGTGCAAGTTGTCAATATTATATTTACGTAATAAGACATCTATGTGAAGAAGTCTGTTCGCTACGCCTGAATGTTCTTTTAAGGCCCCCCTTGTGATAGTTCTAGCTTTTAAATATGTGATTTCCCTTTTTATTTAGTTAGCTGAGGTGCACAGAGTAAGTGAAGAAAATGAATGGAGAGTCATGTTGCCCTGATTTTATTGTTTTAGTCCTTAGTCAAATAGTATACCTTACTATTGATAATTTGACGACTTCACAGACATGATTTCAATTTCATACAATTGTCCAGTCAATCAAATATTGTGATTTTTTTCTTGTTCTTCTTGAAGTTATAGCAGAGTTATTAGGAATTAAAAAAAAAGAAAAAAAGAATTTAA